TGCGAAGAGGTTCTATCATCGAGAGGAATGCTTCGAAGGAAGGGTTCGAACCCTTTGAACGATCGGTATTTCTTTTTCCCTTCCTCCCGCAGTCGCGGTGGTGCAAATGGTCGGTCTAAGCTGGCGAAATCGAGCAAAGAGAGAGAGAGAGAGGCCTTCTTAATTCGCGCTGGACTTTAATTCGAAACGGCACGCCGCTTCCTTTCCGCTGGATATTACGCGGCGAGGCAGCCGCGAAAGCTCGAACATCGCCGGGCAAACTTTTAATCAGACGCGTAATGGATCCCTCGGCGCAATCCCGCGTTTGTTTGCGATACACTTTTTCCACGGGACGTGCACGTCCCTTCCCCCCTCGGTTGCCTGCTGCAACACAGGCTTCCGGGGGGGGATGAAGTCGGCTTGGATAAACGTTGATTCGATCGGAGAACCTTTTTTTTCCGATACGTCGAGTATTAATTTCTTGGAGATATTAGCGCGATAGAGGGACGAAGAAAAATACGTCGAGGTGAACGAGGATTTTTCTCCGTTGGAGAAGCGTGGAAGTGTTGGGGGAGAGTATGGATTCGATTCGGTTCGAAGAGTGGAATTAATTAGAGATATTCATTGGTGTTTTTAGAAATTGTAATTGGAAAATGTGTGATAATTCGTTTTCGGAATAACTAGGGAACGATCGAGGGAAGATATTCCAGGCGTTTCGAAGTACAAAAGTTCGGGGATGGATAGAGATTTTTACTGTAGAAAAATTAGAGTAAATTATTGAATATTTAAGAAAAAATCAAAACTTGTTAAAACATGAAAATTTGTAGAAATAACCTCTTCTCGGACAAAAAAGATGACCAACAATTAGAGCAAGGTAGAAAGTGTGATTAGAAAATAGAAATTGGAATGCAACGCTGAAAGCTTTGCCGTGTTATTACTTTGAACATTTCTAGAGACACGGATTCTAAGGATATATAGGGTAGCGGGTCGCGTTCGTATTTCAGGACGCAGTGACATAATTTTTCAATGGAAGTAAAATGCACTCGAATCAAGAAGATCCACACGGTCGTCAGATGGGACTAGAAATACCGGGGTAAATCCATTGAAATTACATTAAACATAGTAGTCCCTCTCTATATGCGTCTGTAATAGCGCGACGAGAGGAGAGACTGGTTCGGTGAAGTAGAACGGACTCGTGTAGGATCACACGGCTAGAGCTAGACCTTCTACAGTCAAATGGAACGTGGAGGACTGTTCGTGGTCGAGCGAGTAGAACACGTCGTGCATGTGTATTTGAGTCAGCGAAATCGCACTGTACGTGTGATCAGACCGGTGAAATCAAACTACGAATCAACTGTAATTTCACTTATATTTAAACTGCGCAACGATACGGCGTCAAGTGAGACGGAAAATCGAAATGGGAACTGCGGGAGATTAATAAAATAAATGTGTACCAGCTGGAGCGAGTAGTATAGGTCCACGGATGGTCAGAGAGGGCAATTTGGTAGAAGTAGTAGAAAGGAGGCGAGGGTAGAGGTAGATTAATTTGAAACTTGGACAGGTAGGGTTTATTAATTTTTCTTTACGTTTTGAACAATATCGATGTGATTCCGTGCACCTTGACAGCATAGCATTTTCGAATTTTCTCGGCAAATTCTTGACGTTCCTTGCAACCCGCGGTAATTCCGAAACTTTCTACCGAGTCACCTACGTAAAATAGTCGAAGGAGAAAAATTTTTGCAATTTCGTAGCTTCTCTGTTTTTGTAATTCCCCGACACTTTGTTTTCTCAATTTTAAGACTCTCCGTAACATTTTCGAAATTTTCTAACGTCTGTAGGTTGTGTACTACTGAGAATTCATTTTCAGCCCAATTCTGAGAGGCAATTGCAGCGTTCTCTAATTTGCCAATTTTTCATTTAACAATATAGAATAATATAGATCAGTATTTCCGACGAACCATTGAATTTGCGAAAAGAAACGTAAGCGTCTTCTTATTCCACGTTCCTCTTTTCTTTTCTTGGTAAGATCATTACATCGTCGCTACAAAATCTCCTCCGATTTTCACTCAAATATCTTTCGCTTTCATCGAATAACAAGAGCAATTACTAAAATCCCACTTCCATCAAAATCTGAGAGCAAAAATCAATTCGATCAATTTTCAATTTTTCCCTCAAAAAGAAACAAAAAGAAAATCAATTTTCGCGATTTTTTCGAAAGACCGATTTGTCCCGCGGGGAGGAGACATCGATCTGGAATAATGGAACGAGGCGAGCCCCGGGTAGCGGGGAATTATGACAGAATGCCGGGACAATTCCTTATCGGTTTTACGCGTCAAAAGGCAATGGCGATCCCCGTTTCGCGTGGGGCAGATGCGCGCGACGGGACGGGCTCTCCGAGCTTGGGGTTAATGGAGAAGAGAGAAATTCGATCCGATGCGGTATGCTCTCTGAAACGACCAATATCGCTTGTCTACTATTTCCACGCGAATGCAATTGCGCCCGGCCATTGAACGTTCGCCGCAGCACGCTACATCAAAGAAACGAATCATTTCGCCCGGCGAAAATTCCCGGATTGCTTCCTTGCGTCCAACGACAGAATTAGTTTCACCCTTTTTCTCTCTCTCTCTCACCCTTTCTAGCTACGAGCCTGGTTACTACTCTGACGAGCGATCAACCGGTAACCGTTTCACGAACTTGCAAATCTATTTCGACCTTTGAACTGTCGTGGAAAAAAGCTACAAGTGCCCTTGAACGATTGATTCCTTTTTTTTTTTTAGGGAGAGAACGGATCGATTGATTTAGCGGATTTATGCGCGGGGTTCGAAGATGAGGGTCTACTTTCCTGGAGTGTTGTGTTCGAAGCACGTTGAAATTTGGAGATGATTAACATTACTTTAAATGTTAATTTTACAAATCGAAATTATTGATGCTTGGTGTAAATTAATTATACGAGGAAAAGTTACTTTCCTTCTGCTCGTAATTTTTTCCAAATTTTTTTGAAGGTTATCGTAATTTTTTTTTTTTAAAGAAAATACGCATGTTTTTCTATTGCCTGAGTTGTAATCTTGAACACTAAATTAGTGAAGAAAGTGTGCAGGAATATTCTTAAGTGAATAAGGCTAGGTAGAAAAAGTTGCAGCTTAATAATGTTACGAATTAACGTTTTTAAATATTAGACGAATACTGCAGGAAGTGCAAAAGAGGCTGTAACAACCAAACGTAAATTTAATAACGGCTAAACTTTTCCAATTACCTCTTTTATACCATCATTACAAACTACACTCTTGAATTACGTTATCCTTAATTACCTGACGTCGTCGTCGTCGATCATTTCCTGTCACAAAATCACCGTTCAACTTTCTTTTATATCGTTATTATCCCAGAGTACCGAACCGTACATAAAATCATACTATACCATTATCTTCCTAATTAGTCTCGTAAAACATTGATTTGTACTACTTGGAATCGCTTTCAAACGCAAATTACGATCTCAAAAAATGGTGTATAGTAAAACATTGATTTGTACTACTTGGAATCGCTTTCAAACGCAAATTACGATCTCAAAAAATGGTGTATAGTAAAACACTGATTTGTACTACTTGGAATCGCTTTCAAACGCAAATTACGATCTCAAAAAATGGTGTGTCATAAAACACTGATTTGTACTACTTGGAATCGCTTTCAAACGCAAATTACGATCTCAAAAAATGGTGTGTCATAAAACACTGATTTGTACTACTTGGAATCGCTTTCAAACGCAAATTACCGCAATCATAATTCCACCTTTTCGATCATTTTCTTCAACATTACTGTAATACAATAGCCCAAAAACTGTGCAAAATGAATGTTATCGTTGCCAAAATAACAAAAATTCCTTTTTTACCTTAAAATCATCGTTGAACATTCCCAATCGGTTTTTCCACTCCTGCCGCGATCATTATCGTCGATTGTTCGGCGCCGTAAAGTCCCCTGGTGTAGCTGCGAAAGAGGAGCGGGGGCATTCGCGGCGAATAATATCGTAAAACGCGGGGAAATCAGATATTCCTTGGTCGGAAGCGGTCTTAAAATTTAATAAGGCGAAACTGCGCGGCGCGGCGTCAATACGCTGGCCGGATTACGAGGACCGTGGGGCGTAATATCGACGAAGAAAAGCGAAAGAAAGAATGGAGATGGCCTGTGAATTTTTCCACGTCGTCGATCGTGACTACGAACGCTATAGTTTAATTCGAACGCGTACGAACGTGAACGCCCGACGTCATTTACAACCTCGGCGAACATTTTTTCCCTGTCCTTTTAATATCGAGAGCCGCGCGCATTAACAACCGCTCCTTTTCTCTGGAAAGCTTCGCTTCGCTTCTTAGGTCCTGTCTTTTCCTACTTTTTCTCCCTTTTCTCATCTTTCTATTGAACGAAACAATCTCCTTTGTCGGAGTTGAAATTGAAATTGATCGGAAGTGAAGCGTGTTAAGGAAAGTAGGATTAAATTGTTTCCATCTGCCTCTGTGCAAGTGTGAGAATATATTGAAAGATTATTTTTGAAATTAATGTTTTCTTTTTTTTTTTTTTTTTTTTTGACAATTCCTATTCTCTCGTTTCAGGTGAACTTTGTCGTCCGTTGAACTGCAAGAAGAAGGACCTGTGTCTTCTCAAGGATACTTTCACTGCGGTTTGCGTGTCGAAGAAGGAGCTCGAGAAATCCGGGTAAGCACTTTTCTGAATTTAAATGTAACGGATTTTTTTTAGGATGTTTATGAGTTTGCGTAAAATAGCGCACAGTTTGGGGAGTATCTGTTGAGTTTCTGAATTCTCGTTTCGAAATACGGAATTCTAATTAGAACTTAGACGTGCTGAAGTTTCGTCCTGCTTCTGAATAGTGATTGACGTATCATAAACCCACGAGAACGACGGAATTCGAGCTGGGACCGTGGGACTGCGAGTTGCCTCTCAAATTAGACGTGTGTACTGCGCACCTTTGTGGTGGAACCTGCGCAAAAACTCCGGAATTTTCCCTTTGCTATCTGTTATTTCACTTTGGATTATCTAAAGAAATTGGTGGAATATTTGGGGGATTTTGGAAATTTGCAGAATTCGAAATCTTGAAAATTTGCAAATCTTAGAATTTCAGTGCCTTGGAAATTTAAAAAATTCCCAAAATTCAGACTAGTAAATTTAGGAAATATTCTGCAATTTCAGTATCGTAGAAATATCCAAAATTTGAGGCCTCGAAAATTTAAGAAGCATTCTATATAAAATTCCAGTGTCTCTGAAATTCCAAAACTTCGAAAAATTCGAAACCAAGAAAATCTCCGAAAACTCCCTCAACTCCTCAAAAACGACCACGACCAAGCACTCAAAACCCACCTAATTAAAACCCAGAACAAGATCAATCCACCTTGCAACTTGTCAGTCCCTCCTAATTCCTACACCACACCAAATTGAATCCTCTCTCTCACCCTCTCCTCCACATTTTAGGAACGGTTCACGGAATAAACAGTTCTGTCAAAATTAGTCGTAGAATTGGCAGTCGTTGACGAGCTCCCGCCACCGATGATTAACGACGATATTACCCGGCGAACACGACATTAAATCGAGCAGATTCGGGTGGGTGGGTGGATGGGTGGTGGTAGATGGAGAACACGAGGAGGAGGGGTACACGGTAGGTGGCGATCATTGATTTCCAAGCGCGTGCTTATTCCCAGCTAACCGTGATTGTAGCTTTCCACGTGGATATGGAAGCATTCACGCGGCACCCGCTGTGAAATTTATCTTGAACGATTCCCGCCGCGAGACATTAAACGGGTCTTCATAGCCAATTAACGCGTAGACTGATCCGTGCACGCGTCCACCACCGCCGCGTTTCACGATGAACAATCGTGAATTGTCACCGATGATTCGGTGAACGCATGGCGGAATACGGCGGCGTAATGTGTGCAACGGGATCAGCCGGGAGATTGATGAGCCTCGAATGCGTCGCGATGCTTCGCAACATTCTGCAACATCGCCCGAACGACGCTCGGGAAACGGTCCAAGGAGCTTTGAGATATTGCCACTGTCCTAGGAAACGTCTTGGAATGTAGTTGCGGAGTGTAGTCGTTCTTTGATTTATTCGTTTTGGAAGGTGTATAGGTGTTAGGTGTCGAAATGAATTTTTTGCCGAATTGTATTCGCGTAATTGATTTAACACCGTCGAGTTTCTGTCGCGACGATATTCGCGAGCAGTGAGAAAAATGGCAAAAGGTCGTGGAAAATAGTGGAAAGTATTTCGGTGCTTGATTTCTTTTCGTTCCTTCTTAATGAAATTTTGATTGTACCCAAGTCGGAAAAATAGTAAAATTATGAAATTGATAAAATTGATGTTTAGGATGAATTTTTAATTGATGGATTAATTGACTTCATTAAAATCAAAGTTAGAACGGCTACTACCATAGTGGATGTGCGCACAAGATGTAAATCATCGAAATCTGCAAAACTGTAAGAGGCAATTTTAAAATGTTATATACTAATGGATTTGGAATGAAATGCTCGTCATTTTTTGTCATTATGAAAATTTCAAGAAAATGAAAAATTAAGTTAATAAATTTTTTTTTGTTATAAACAAACTGTATTTTGTTAAATTTTTTAACACCATGTTATTGTACGTCAGAAACCATTAACCTCGCCCATTAACAATTTTTTCGTATGACTTACCGTTTTCGAGATAGCCGTTTCGAGCCAAAATTTCAAGGGGTGGTTTCACCCCTTAAACTCGAGTTACCGCAGCTAAAAAAAAATACGTGTCGATTATTTTTGACTGCTTTATAAGTGTACAAAGTTTCATCAAAATCGAAGCCGGACCGTTCGCGAACATTCCTTGTTAGTTAGAATTATGAACTATTTAAAAAGCTTGCTTAATAAATTCATTAGACGCCGGGTGAGTTGCGCGCGTGTCAGATTGCGGACGTTAAAAACAGAGGAGACAGCGGAAAATGACGTAGATTGCGTCGAAAAGGGAAAATAAAATTTGTTATTTCGTACGACATAACGCAATACCTAAATATTTCCAGCGGAGGTTCATTCCGAACGAGAATTCCCGCGAATCGACTTGGCTCGAATCTTCCAGAAGCACTTGCAACATTTTGCAGCAATTCTTCCACAAAAAGAAAAAAGAAAAAGAAATACTTCACGGCAATTCTTCAACGACGCACAAAGGTTTGAAACGGCGTTGCAATGGTGAAACGCCGCTCGAATAGCTTCTAAGCACGGTGAAACATTGTTGCAAAGGGGGGAAAAAGTTTCGTGGACCACTCGACGAGCCGCTGGCACAATGCTTAGAAATACCCGAGTAGAGTTTTCAGCGCGGCGTTCGCGACATAGTCGGGCAGGCACTCGGGAACGCGTAATTAAATTAAGTAGCCCGTGAAATATTAATTCTGTTGGGCTCTGGTTATTTCACCCGCGGAGACGAAAGTCCGTCCTGATTTTTTTCTGCGTGAAATATTCGTTGAATGAGAGAGCAGTGACGTGTCGACGCGGTGTACGAAACATGTTTGCGAGGGAAAACTTTCCGGTGGACCGGTGAAAACTCGACGTTGTTATCGATGATGGAAATTTTCGCGTTGCCCCTCCGGAGAAATTTTCCTCTCTATTGCTTTGGTTCTTCCTCGCTCCATGTCTTTCCCTTTCTTTAATTCTTTCCTTCGTCCTCTCATTCTCTTTCTTTCTTTCTCATTCTTTGAGTCTTTTTCTCTCCTCTTACTTTCTTTGTCTCTCCCTCACTCGTTATCTTTTTCTCTCCTATTTCTTTCTTTGTCTCTCCCTCACTCACTCTCTTTCAATTCCCTTTCTTTAATTCTTTCCTTCGCCCTCGCATTTTCTTTCTTTCTTTCTCATTCTCTGAGTCTTTTTCTTTCTCATTCTCTGAGTCTTTTTCTCTCCTCTTTCTTTCTTTGTCTCGCCCTCACTCGTTATCTTTTTCTCTCCTCTTTCTCCCCTCTTTCTTTAATTCTGTCTTTCGCCCTCTTACTCTCTTTCTCTTTCTTTGTTTCTCCCTCATTCACTCTCTTTCTCTTCTCTTTCTTTCTTTGATTCTTTCTCCATCTCTCTCTCTCTTTTCCTTTCTCCTTCTCTGACTCTTGTTCTCTCTTCTCTCTTCTATCTTTATCTCCATCTCTTCCCTTTTTTCTATTTTCCTTCTCTCTCGTTTTCCCTCTTCCTCTCTGTCAGGAAGACCTCTCTGTTTGAAATTATGTTCAAAAGCGTCCCATTTTCATAGCCAGAGAAATCGCTTTTAACTTATTCCATTTCCAGAGAGCGACGCGGCATCTTGACACTGGTGGATCTGCTTAAATTTTTTAACATTCGCCAAACCCCGCGTTTCCTCGCAGAGGACTCCAACCTTCCTCGATTACCTCTTCCCCCTGCAACATTCACCCTGTCCTGAAATATTTCTCGACTATTCTTCGAATAAAATTTCCTTTCATCTTTACATCCTTCGATTTCTATCTTCTGTTGTATCTTCTGTTTCTACGATTTTCACGCATTCTGATTTTGTCAATTCGAGAAAATTCGTGTAACTTCAATTCTACATTTTCACCCTCCTCCAGTTTCTCGATTTTTCTCTGAATTGAAATTTTTCCAATAATTCGGTTTCGTAATTGCAAGATTTCAAGAATGAGATATAATTGGCGAAGATGTGCAACCTTTCTGAAATGAACTCTAATTGATCTATAATTCACGATGCCGCGGTTTTCAGTGAATAAAGCACGTTGCCCTTTGAAAATTCGAGGTCGAAGACGCGGCCGGAGGCCAGATCAAACACGGTCCGTTTCTACTTGGCGCTCTTTCTTTTTCAGAGACATCGTAAT